TTATACACATATATTTTATTTTATATTTCTTGGCGTGCCCTTTATTGAAAAATCCACCCTACTATCTTACATTATTTACATTTTATATATTGTGTCTGAACAGTTATTATTGAAGTTTTAAATTTAAAGATTTTTTAACATCTTTATTAAATTCCGTATAATTATTGGATCGGTCGGTCACGCATTGGAAAAGTTTGGAAAGTTATCGTCACTACCTCTTTCAAAAACTTACAAGTCAGAAGATCATATCACTAAATTCAGTTATAGTTTTATTAATTTGTACTATTTGAATTATTTGAACTTATGAAAGAAGCGATTCTTTAAAGTAAATCTGTTATGAAAAGCTGAAATATAATAAACTTTTATTATAGTATGTTTAAATATGGAAGGTTTATAAGTAATAAAGGGATTACTAGAAGTTAATTTCACATATTGAATAATTCCAGTAAATATTTGGAATAATCGAACAATTTTAATAAATTTAAATTGCAGGTAATGCGATCACTTTCAATACATTGTCTTTTTTCTATAAGATTAACGAATTGTTCGATTATTGACAAAAAGTTCATTTTTTTATAATTTCTACATTATATTAAATGTACAGTCAGCCTTCGATACAACGGATTCGAATTTTTCCAAACACGTGATATTTAACTAATCCCCGACATGGATCACGGGAATTACATAAAGTTCCATATCAACATAATATAATTTTTTTTTGGTTGGAACCTCTACTGTCGCGTAATGTATTGAATCATTACGAGAAATTTAGTGATTGTTTAGAGATTTTTATTTATTTTATTTCTTTTATATTTATTATTTCTTACAATTCTTTGTTATTTCTTTCGAGTAAACAAAAGTTTGTTGACAAAAAAATTTTTAAATATTTCCGTAATATTCTCTATATTCTCTTTTTTTCCCGGAATTGAAATAATATTTTACACGCTTTTCATTTCTTAAATTTTCCAGATATATATTTTTTATTTTATCTTTAAATTCTTTATTTTTTATTTTTTTTTCCAAGACCCAGAAATATATATACAGGGGTAGGGCACACAGATGCGTCGCCATCATAGTGGAATTAGACGGAGTAAAGTTTTGATTTGCGTACAATTTAAGAATAGTTAGGTCATCAAGATTGCGTATTTTTTATCAAAATTTTTATATGTAAAAAATTAGTTTGCGTATTTTTGGGCTAATCTTCTATATCTTATATATTTACTGTACGTTAACCGCATTGTAATATTTAGTATCAATTGAAAGAAATAAAGAAATTTCTAAGGGTTAAAAAGTGAAATTTTAGAAAAATATTATTGAAAAAATGGCAAAATAAGAATAAATTCTATTTTTCACATTAGTATTTGGTTTTATAAATAATATAGACTGAAGTCATGATAAAATAATTTATAACTTAATGTTTGAAATTTATTTTTTCAGGATTTTCAATATCAGGTGTCAATTATGCGTACTACTCATATAAAAAGTCTCTTAGTAAAAAATTTTTCGCCATCTGACCCTTATATATATATTTCTGGGTCCTATCAACTGTTGCGTTGGATTTCAGATAATAATATTGATCAACTTCCCTGGCCCGCGCAAAGTCCCGATTTAAATCCAATCGAAAATATTTGAGATGAATTAGAGCGTCACATTCGTAGGCATGTCCCTTTGCAGGGGGAGTGGTTTAAGTTAGATGAATCAATCTGGTCGAAAGTATATGCTCGTAAAATTTTCCCATGTGTCAGGGGAGTGTACATCAAATATCCTCATTATAACGAATCAGCAAATTAAATTTTAAATTCTTCATTATAATCGTAGATTTCGGCATCAATAATTTATACTTGTTATTCCATGGGTATCAATGAATAACTGAAATATTCACCGATGTCTTGGGGGCCCCCCCGAAGGGAGGGGAGCATCGGTGTATATGGAGTATTTATTAGATACCCATGGAATAACAGGTTTATCTCATTGTGTATGGCGTATACACCGATGGATTTTATACTTTTTTATACTTTTTTATACCGGTGGAATAATTTACAAAAAAATCCATCGGTGTATACATAATACCGATGGGATAAATATATAATATCAGTTATGCTTTTAGTTTGAACCAAGCTTGATAAGAATTTAATGAGGTTAAATCACCTGATTTAATGTGTATAAACCATAACTAATTAAACTAATTATCACTTGCTTATTTTTTTTTTCAAATTAAATTGATTATAGTTATTTATATCCATAAAATCTTATATTAATTTATTCATAATTACATAAGAATAAATCTTTGGATCTTTAAAAGAATTTAAAAAATTTAAAGTAAAATTACTATAAATCAACTTATAATAAAGATAATTCATAAAGTATCTTCCAGGATGGTACCGATAATCCAGCAGCAATGAATCCTCCAGCCGATGTTCCAGCTATCATATTAAAAAGATGAGAAACAAGAAATACGGATATTGTTTAAGGTTTTTTGAACTTCAATCAATCTAACATATTATCACATAAGAGTTATACAAGTTATTTTATTTTTAATTGATTTTGCTAATCTTCCAAAATATTTTGATGGATTTCATTACTACAGTACAAGTCTTTAAGATCTGAAAAAGCATTGTTCAGCCTATGTGATACTGTGTATTTCACAATTAAATCTTTTGAATATTCTATTAACAAATAAATGTTTCGTTTTTATCATGGATATGTTTAACTTCTTAATTTCTGGAAATCATTTCTTCCAAAAATGTTTACAGAAACTAATATAATTAAATGAAAATGGATGATAACTGAAAATCTAATGCATTTTTTAAACATTATTAAATGGAATAAGATGTAAAATGAGTTATGATTGAAATAGACACTTACACATTCTCATGATTTTCCCACGTGATATATTCTGGTTAGGGATGATTCATCCCGATGATTTATTCTTTGTGAAAAATAATAAGAAAATCTTAACTATCTATTTATTTTATTGTATATTTTTACGTAATCAGTTATCTGGTGGTAAAGTTAGAATCTAATCAAGTTTTTCAAGTCATTAATTTAAGAATCAAATTTTTTTTTATTACGTTATAATATTGAATTCAATTTTAGCAAATTATTATGATGGAAAAGAATTAAATATTACCTCTCACTCAAACAATCTACATTTTTGATTTCAAATATTAACGCTTGATGTTCAAACAAAAACATGGAAATTTTGTTCAATGTTCCAATTTAACATATAAGAAAATCTCGTTATACCGATTTTAAATTCGCATGTCTTATATATATTAACTTTTTGTTAAAAAACAATACAAACGAAGATTTACAAAGTAAATATTACCATAAAGGAGAATGTAATACAATTTCCATGAGATCATTCTTAATAAATAATTCCACGTAGTGGATGACCCTGTAAAAAATCTGATCCGTGTTTTATCTTTCCATGTTTTTTCCGTGAATGTATCATTTTCATGGAATTTATAGCCTTAAATCATGGAAATTTTCATCTCGCTAACACGGATATCCGTGAATGTATCATTTTCACGGAATTTTTATGGAAGACACGGAGAAATAATGGAAATATTCGGATAAAAATTTTTTATAGGGTGATTTACGTTCTTTATCTTGATTCTCTTACATCTTATCACTATTATACC